TCCTTCCTCTTTCCCTTTCGCTTTCTTCTTCCTTTACTTCACATTCTGCAAACCCTAACATGTTCTGCCCCCACTTTCCCTCTCTCACTTCTCTCTCATCTCCGATCATCATCCCATTCTCTGATGACTTTTCATTTTTGTTTTGGTCGGCTCCATCAAAATCACCTCTATCCATCACCAAATCGGACATCAAGAGCCTCGACTATGAACCGAAGTTGCAAAATTGAGAAAGGAAAGAGATGAAATGGAGAGGAGTTCGAAAGTTGGCAATTGAGGGAAAATTGAAAAGGAATCAGTGTGAGGTTTCTCGTTGTTGTGTGAGGAACCCAAATATCCAGGCTCTCTATTGCTGTTGTAATTTTTTTTTTTTTTTCTTTTGGCTTGTGATTTTCTTCTGATTTTACTGAGAAGCATTTAACAAGTCTCTTGTTATTTTAGAAGTTGCATATGTTTTGGTCCCTTGAATCACTTCTTTGTGCAGATCTGGGTTAACTTGTCAAGTGTGAAAATGGGTTTCGGATCCTTGGGTTAGCTTGCACGAACACAAGGTTGCTGGGGAATCTAGATCCATTGGCAATAGAGAGGAAAAGATAAACTATGGGTCTGGGATTTTTATGGAGAAATTTGAGTAGTGAGGGAAAGATAGATTTAATCGTGAAGGAAGAGATAGATTATGGGTTTGGGATTCTTTGTGATTGTTTCCATTTCTAAAATTTTTCTTTGATTAAGTAATGTTGCTCTGTTTCTTTTTCATCTTGGGCTTACTTAGTGAAATCATGTTTCTTGCCGTCGTTGGCGACCTCCGAACATTGATGGCTTTCCTACTTTTTTTCATGCTTCGTGATTCTGTTTACTTTTCACGAATTTTCTCAAGAACCCAGATCAACCAGAGACTAAGAAGAGAGAAGAAGACGATCAAGGTAAAAAAAAAAGAGTATGGAATTTTGGTAATTTTATGAAAAAAGGAAGGAAAAGGCGGGAACAATCAGTAGTTTGGTGATGGTTGGGAGTGGTTTTGACTGAGTCACTGGAGAAGGGGAAGATGACCGGAGATTCTGTTCGGAGATGATGATCGGAGAAGGGGAGGAAAAGAGGGCCAACTTTGACCAGGTAGAGTTAGTTTACAAAATTAATTTCCACCTTATTAATTTTTATGACGTGGATTTGCCACCTCACAGCTGTAATGGAAAAATAAAGGTCAACAGTTAGTTAACGTGACATCTAAGTAAAAAAATTAAATTTGAAAATTTTAGGATCAAATCAAGTATTTTTTTAGTTTAAGGACCAACATGAGGGTTTAAACAATAGTTGAGGGACTAAATTTGGGGGTTTAACCTATATTCAAATATGCACAAACAAGCAAACTAGTATAGAATGCTTTCTTAAAAAAAGGTTAAAACCTCTTTTTGGTCCCTGGATTATTGTACGGACTCTCGATTTGGTCCCTGAACTAAAAAAATCTCTGATTTGGTCCCTACTGTTTACCCATTTTACCCCAACTTGGTCTTTCCGTTAAAAATCGTTCGTTAATTCACAGACATATCAAAAATTTAAGTCACGTCAGTTGCTAAATGATGACATGGTCATACCCAACACAAAAACAAAAGTGGGACCCACCAATTTATAATTTTGCATCACCTTCTTCCTCCAGCATCTTTTTTCTCGAATCTTCCTTCATTCAGACAATCAAACAATCAAATTCAATATCGAATTCATCTTAATCAAACAACCAAATCCACGAAAAAAAAAAAAAAAAAAAAAAAATTCCCCCCTGGATTCGAAAGAACCCAAGTGCTGGGTTTCTTCTCGAACCCAGCGCTTGGGTTCTTTCTCGAACCCAGCGCTTGGGTTCTTTCTCGAACCCAGCGCTTGGGTTCAAAAAGGAACCCAGGGGTTCTCGAAAGAACCCAGCTCTTGGGTTCCAACGAAACCCAGTGGTTGGGTTCTCAAAGGAACCCAACGGAGACTGCTGGTACAAGTCTTCTAGGGTTGAAAGGGGAAGAAGAGGGAGAAGATAGTGAGTTTGGGGGGCAAGAGGTGGGCCCCACAATTTATTTTTTTTTTTGGCTCAGAATCTAACGTGGTTGATGACATGTGCCATGTATACAGTTGATGTGTTACAATATTTTGACATGTCATCATACTCAGTTAATTAACTGGACACCTCACTATATTTTTAACGGAAGGACCAAGTTGGGGTAAAATGAGTAAACAGTAGGGACCAAATCAAGGATTTTTTTAGTTCAAGGACTAAATCGGGGGTCCGTACAATAGTTCAGGGACCAAAAAGGGATTTTAACCTAAAAAAAAACAACGACAACAACAATTAGTCTGGAATGCAGTCTGACCCATAAAAAGGTATTATTGTTGTTGGGTGACTTGTGTCCAATCTTGTTTGATTGATAGAAGCTGGCCCAATTTTTGTATGGGCTCCCATGTGACTTACCCACTTCGAAGCCCTCTCCAGAAATTGCCCATGTTGTTGTAAGTTCTGTTCATTTGGCTGCCTGATGGTTGCTAATCGCAATGCGCATCGTGGGCTTGTTTGGGAAGCAAGAATCCTTTTCTTTCCCCAACGCTAATAAAAAAAAAGAAAAAGAAAAAAGAGAAAAATGAAAAAAAATTAGATTATGAATGAATTCTCAATATTCCAGGAAGTATCAGGAGTGTAAGGATGCAATTCATCTATCACTGGATGTAATAGAGACTTGTTTCCTCAAAAATCCTCTAGTGGCCTCGCACGTGTGAAATCTGGATCCGGATGTGCCACTTATTTTGCTGAAAATAAGAAAGGAGGATTTTTCCAACGACCTTCTCCTTCCTCACGGTCAACCTCTTTGCAGATGGCGGGAAGAACATTAGATTAAAATTGAAATTGCGCCTTCAAACGATTTGCAAGAGGGAGGGATACCTTCCTACAGAATGAGTTACGAAATCTGTCTTGGACAACTCAAACGACTTAAACATTACCGTGACTTAAAATTAACAAATCCTAATTATTCTAAATTACCTGCAATTTAAAATAAACTTGCGAAAAAAAGCTGTACCCAAATTAAACTGATCATGTTCATTGTTAAATTAAAATGCTATGTACTGGTAGATTTGGAAATTAAAATGTTGCAGAATTAAAGATTTCATCCTAATTAACATTAAAATTAACGTGAACAGTAATTAAACTACCATGCTTGAGGTTGAAAAGAGGTATGAACACCACATAAGTAATCATTGAATAAAATGCTACTTATCATAAACATTAAATTAATTGCAAATAAAAAGAGAACAATACCTTGCATAAACTTGAAAGATTGAAGTTCATTGCATGAAAGGAAATTGTTGAACTAAATACATGAATTAATTTGCCTAATGGAATGATGAAAAACAACCTAATTCTACTGGAATCTGTACTGAAATTCGAAATCTGGAAGCATGTGTAGAGAAAATGAAAGTATGAAAATTTGCAGTTATTTGAGTAGGGCTGATCGTCCATTCTTCCTTCCAAAATTTCCTTTTTGTTCTCCTTGTGCTGGTAGTAACTTCCACTTTTTGCAGTTACTCAATCATGGGTGGTTTCTTGAAGTAGTGGGACACCTCACCTTTTGGCATGGTCTAATCTCCTTGCAGATTTCGTCACCTGTACTCTTATTAGATAAAACCCCTTTTGTAACTGCAATCTTCTCCTATTTTTCAGCTCCCATTATCCCTTTCTATTTCAAGAAGATAATTCCTCCATAAAAAAATTAGGTTAAAACCCCTTTTTGGTCCCTGGACTATTGTACGGACCCCCGATTTGGTCCCTGAACTAAAAAAATCCCTGATTTGGTCCCTACTGTTTACCATTTTTACCCCGATTTGGTCCTTC